AATCAGCTCGTAACACAACTCTGTGTGCTAATGAACCCAAAGCTGTTAATATGGTTTCTTCAGTTAAATTGATTCATGAATTTTGAAGAGAACATTATCTAATGAATTTTCTTTGAATAGAAAGCAATTAAAAGGACAAATCAGTCTGATTAACCCCAAAATCACCCTAGCGCCACAAATGGTGTACAGTTTGAAATTATATCATAAAGGAACTAGAGCAGATTTGCTATCTCTCTGCCCTTTTTAATCCATGTAAATTAATGAACAACAAAGTTAATTTCTTTGATGACCCTTTCCTAGTATCACCTGGATTATGCTGATATTTAATTTGCTTAACGTTATCATAAAGGCTAAATGGATTTTCCCCCCCCACTGGTGAGTATTATGCTATTCATTTAAGAAGTTGTTATTATTTAAAACTAATATATATATATATCTGGATTTATTTAACAACGAAGAATGCTTTTCTAGAGTAAATATAATGTAACTTTTTTTAAATTTAAGCACCAGCACATAAAATATTTTTTTTGCCCCAAAAATTTCATGTGAAGGCTTCAGAAGAAAATATTGCTATCATTTAGCATCAGTGTTTCCCTATCTCCTTAATTTACAAAAAATCCTTACAACCACAATTAGTACTGGAATTTTGCTAAATGATGAAGTCATTAAGCAAGTCATCACATGACCAGACCCAGTGTTACCATGGTTGTTAGGTGAATCACATAGTTGTTAAGTGAATTGCATGGTCATTAAGTGAATCCAGCTTCAACTTTATCGGCAGCCACCTGACAAGATGGCAAATTGTGGCCATGTGACCACAAGACACTGCAGCCATTGGTAATGCAAGCTGATTGCCAGGTGCTCAAGTTGCAATCACTTGACCGTGGGGATGGTACCACAGTCACAGCTTTGAGGACAGACCATAACTTTTTTTCAGCACCTTCATAAATTCGAACAGTTGTTAAACCAATTGTTATGGATTCCCTGTAGAAAGTTAAAAGAGATCTGGGACAGCAAATGAGAAGAAGATAGGAATATATTATGGAACAGAAACGTACTGTTTATTGCAGATTTTAAATCCTCAAAATACTCCTCCATATAATGCTTTTCTATGTGCCAAAGCATGGATAGCCCACTTCTTGTTTAGCAGGTACTACCGATATTCCAACAAGCTTTGAGTCCATTGTTTTGTTTGAGTGACTGCCATAAAGGATGTTATATTGTAAATTGCTTTGTGTGTGTTTTTTTATTGTATTATATCAAACCATGTACACTGTCTGGAGCCCGTATGGATTTTGTACGGGATACAAATAGCATTAAATAAATAAATAAATATTCTTCCTTTGCTGAGAAGATCAGCAAGTAGATTACAGCATTCCTTCATTTAGGAATCCCTTATATGAAAACTTTCCAAAAGTTGGTGAAAATGCAGCTCTTCTGGAGAGTGTTTAGCGATTAAAAGGTTCTTGCAATTTGTGATTCTGTTCTGTTTGTCTGCAGTTGTTTTAATTCTCTGGACTATGTTTTACAGTTGCAAGCTTCCAGAAATATACGATGACCTACAAATCTATTAAATAAATAATTCTGGGCAAAATAATCACACAAGTCTCCTCTGCAGCATATTCACTTGGACACTTAAAACATTCAGCCCTGAGAAATGAGAAAACCCTCCCACGAAAGCAGATCTTACACAGCTCTTGTTAATATCTAAAATCTCCCTCCCCCTTCTGTTTCTTATGTCAAGAATCAGGCGCAGACCTGTTTGCAAAGTTCTAAGCTATGGTAACACAGTATAGGCAGTCTCCAACTTACAACAATTTGCTTAGTGACTGTTCAAAGTTACAACAGCACTAAAAAAAAAGTGACATATGACTGTTTTTCACACTTATGTCCATTGCGGCATTCCTGTGATCACATTATCAAAATTTAGAATCTTGGCAGCTGGCTCATACTTGTGATAGTTGCAGTGTCCTGCAATCATGGGGTCATCTTTTGTGAACTTCGGACAAGCAAAGTCAATGGGGAAGCCAGATTCACTTAACCATCGTCTTATTAACTTAACAGCTGCAGTAATTCACTTAACAACTGTGGCAAGAAGGGTTGTAAAATGGAGGCAAAACTCACTTAGCAACTTTCTCACTTAGAAACAAAAATTTTGGTCTCAATGATTCCCATAAGTCGCCAACTACCTGTAAAACATGCTATTACAGCCAGGATGGTCTAATGGTTAAAGCAACAGGCTAGAAATAAAGAGTCTATGAGCTCTAGTTCCTCCATAGATATGAAAGCTAACTGGGTGACTTTGGTCTGGTTAGTCTCAGCCTAATCCCACTTCGCAGGGCTATGGTGGTGGGAAAAATAGGAGGAAGGAGGAGTATATTGTGGGCTTGCCAACTTGAGTTACTTATAAGTTCATTAAAGGCAGGAAGTAAATAAAACAAATAAATATTCCCATCTTTCTATTATCAGATCATGCCTGGTCACCAACAGGCAATTTTTTCATTGCCACAGATGAACGTCTCATTCTACGGCAATCTACAAAGATTGTTTCTCTTCATGCCTTATTAACAACAATATGAAAATCAAGAGTAACTAGGCAGCAAATGAATGAGTGCTTTCCTTCCAGTGAGAATTACCCACTCACATATGCAATATATATTGGGAGACACCGTTGCATTTTCTCCTATCTAACATGTGAAATGGTGGCTGGGGGGGCATACAATAATCCAGCCTGCTAGCTTTCTTCCTGCTCAGCTTAAGTTTGAAAATTGGAAATAGAAAAGCATTATAAAACAAGTCCTGCCTGTTATTATTCTCTTTTTTCTTTTCTTTTTTTTTTAATTTGACTGTATGCCTATGTAAGCTTGCCATTGAATGGGAAAGCCTATTGTATGCGTTAACAGGATAATTGTACTAGAAATTAAAAATATAGGAAAATCAAAGCTCTGAATGCTTTTGTAATAGTGATCAGTTACTCAAAATGCGCTCTTTAATAATCATGAATTTAAATATAGAACACAATCATAGAACTGATTGCTGTGCTAATTCAAAAGAAAAAATGTTGATGTGCATATATCATGAGGTTTTTTTTTAAAACCATAGCCACAGACTCAAGAGATACAAAAGCACTTCATATCCCCCTATATGTTTTGCGGAAAACTTTTTATTTTACAAAACAAAGGTATTTTTAAAAAGTGGTATGGAAGACTTACAAATGTGTTTTTGTACACCTATTATTATCTCTATCCTATACACTATTCTATTACTATTAAAATGATTCCTCTGTATTATACACTGTTTTTCAACCTTGGCAGCTTTAAGATGTGTGGACTTCAACTCCCAGAATTCCAGCACAAACTTCCAGTGTCACCTACTGACAATAGATTTGACTTGGCACATCTGGTCGGATAGGAAAGCATTTTTCAACCTCAGCAACTTTAAGATGTATGGACTTTAACTCCCAGAATTCCAGTTTGCTGGCTGCAAAACTCTGGAAATTGAAATCTACACATCTTAATGTTACCAAGGTTGACAAGCTCTGCTCTATACTATACTATTACTGTGTTTCCTCTATACCAGTGATGGTAAACCTTTTTGTTGTGGTGTGCCAAAAGTGTGCGCGATAGCGTATGCATGTGCCGGCACCCATAAATGCAATTCACCACCATGCGTGCGCAACACCCCCGCCCCACCCCCATACCTACACTCCATATGTGCATGCCTCAGCCCGTTTGAGGCAGTTTTCGCCCTCCCAGAGTCTCAAGGGAAGCCACTGCAGCCTCGGGAGGCTGAAAACAGGACCATTTCGGCAGTTCTGGTATTTCCAGAAGGCCCGTTTTTTGGCCTCCCAAGGCTGCAGAGGCATCCCTCGAGCCTCCGGGAGGGTGAAAACAGCCTCAAACAGGCCAAAAATCAGCTGGGAGACGCGCGCATGCACAGTGCAGGTAAGTTTGGTTGGGGTTCGCATGCCCATACAAATGGCTCTACATGCTACTTGTGGCAAGCATGCCATAGGTTCGCCATCATGGCACTATACTATACTCTATACCCTATACCCTATACCCTCTACTCTACTCTACTCTACTCTACTCCACTATACGAAACTATATGAAACTATACGAAACTATACTATATTATTCTATATACAGATAGTCCTCAACCTATGACCATAATTGGGACCAGAATTTCCATTGCTAAAAGCGGCAGTTGAAAAAAAGAAGCTCTTTTTTTTTTTTTGCCATGTTGTTAAGTGCATCAGAGCAGTTGTTAAACTAATCATACAATTGTTACGTGAATCCGGCTTTCTCCCATTGACTGTGCTTTTTGGACACCAGCTGGGAATGTCTCACGTGGCAATTGCATGACTCCAGACACTCAACCATTGTACATACATGCCAGCTGCCAAGCATCTGTGTTTTGATCATGAGACCCCAGGGATGCTGCAACAGTCGTAAGAACCGGTTGTAAGTCACCTTTTTCAGTGCCGTTGTAACTTTGAAAGGTCGCTAAACAAGTGATTGTAAATCGAGGATCACTATAATATACTATTATAATTAATGCTCAATGCTGTTGGTATTATGCATCAATGTTTCCTTCTTACAAAGCTTGTTCTGTCTCCTCTGGGATTTCTCCTGCTTTTTTTCCTTCTCTTTTATGTCCAGCATGAAACACTTTTCTGTACTGTGCTGTGCTTTGCTAGACGTCTGCATTTCTTTCTCTTCTGGACATTCCACGAAACCCCTTTCTGTCCTTCAGCTGTTGCACTTCTCTCTAGCAGCCACAGACCTCCCAAATTATATCCTCTTCCATACCTTTGTCAAGGTTTATACACAACTCTTCATGCTGGCACTGGAGGAAATGACTCAAATGGGACAAAGGTACCTGCAATTTTGGCCAAGCAACTTGTTCTTCCAGATTTAAATGCTACTTTTTTTTTAAGCAAGTAATGTCTCTATCGATGTGTGATTTCTTCCTTTTCGTTTCTTCTGCTTGCCTTCCAGCTTCATTCACCAGAGATGTGTTGTGGACCCTGCTGAGAGATGTGAAATTTGGAGAGGCAGTTTCTTACAAGCAATTAGCGGCCCTGGCAGGCCACAGCAAAGCAGTCAGAGCGGTGGGTGGAGCGATGAGAAGAAATCCTGTAAGTCCATGTCAACGTTGAAATCAACTTGATGGAAGATGGTGGGTTGGGATGGAAAGCTTTGTGGGCTAAATGTCATTAGATTAAATATATCTGCTGCGAAAACTACTCTGCTATGAGTAATAAGGTCAGTAAGTGTTTTTAATCAGCATTAATGCATAAAACAATTTAATATGATTTATTTCCCCATCATTTATTTGAAATGGGGGCCATGCATTTATTTTAATGCATCAAGTCCTATGGATGTGACTCATTTTCTTTTTATTATTTTTCTTCTCCTTTCCTTTTTTAAAACAACAACAACACAAGACCAATATTTTACGGAAGGAACTGTTCTCTTTGTGAGCAAGATTTCCTGTTAGGCTATAGCCGGACTGTAAAGGTTTGGAAGGATCACTTTTTTTAATCACCTAAAAAATATGTCTCGGTCTGTGAGTTCCTATGGGGCAAAAGGGCAAAATATCCTCTGGATTATGAAAGGAACATATTTGACTTGGGTTCCAAATAAGATCAAGTTCTGGATATTGAAATCCAGGTGTGTTCCAGTCTCATTTACCTCTTGAATCAAGGTATGGGTCTGTTTTCCGGTGTCAAGACACCCTAAAAAAATGGATGAGCTTCACCAATTTAGGCCATATCAAGTGTAGTGTTTTAGTTGAAAATTCAGGGGAACATTTCTAAAAGACTTCAGCTATATTGTCCTGTCGGCTGCCCATCTTTGCTTTCTTTGAAGCTCACCAGCAACTGCCATATCCAGGAGGAGGAGGGGGAGAGTGCTGCAGGTGTGAAAGAATGCTGTGGGAAATTGGGGCGATATGGACACTAACAGGAACCACAGGTGCTAAACAGAGCCATCTTCCTGCCTTCAAGGACACCGGCCCTGGGAAAGGAATTTACAGCAGCACCTGAGGCTCTGGATTCCCAAAACATTGGAACAGAACCTGATTGGGCTACTCCCACAGGAGGGGAGGTTTTGGACATTGGGGATTGCTTTCAATATATGATTTTTGCACGTTTTTTCTTCAGAGCTTGCCTCACTATGCTGCACTCAGCATCTCTAGTAAAAGTACCTTTTCTCTAATACCTATGGAGTCAAAGGTCATTTTTTCCTAGGGAGTAAGCTGTGGCCAGTCTGAGAGTTCCCATTAGTGGCATATTTCCAGTATTGCCTATTCTGTAATTCCTAAATCTCATCTTCGCCTGAGAATTGATTGGTATTTATGACAGTGGCCAATGCAGTTAAGTGTGAAGTTATCTAGGTACTAGTACAAGGCCAGTCAATATTGGTGAACAGTCAAACGAGGACATTTTATGTTCCACTGTTGCTATACTTTGCCTGGAAAGTAGTCCAAGTAGCTCAATTAATCCTGAGTTTTACAGTCTTTTGAACTGTGTACTGGTGTTACAGCTAATGGGTCATTGATATCCAACTATTGTGTTGCGGCTGCCTGCAGAGCTGGCAGCAGAGTCAGACAGTGGGGAGGACCATGGGCCAGTCCTGGAGTCTGGGGAGGACTCGGACGAGGGATCTGTGTCTGACACAGAGATGGGGCCAGGGCCATCTGAGAGTTATGTGCTGACTCCAGAGCCTCCAGAATCTGACATCAGCAAGGCAGAGGAACAGGGGGAGCCTGTTTCCAGTGCATGCTTGCGCAGAGCTGCCAGAAGGCAAGAACAGTTAAGACAAAAGGGGTGACTCGGGAGTAAGGCTTGGAGATGATTACCTCCCCCCATAAGACATAAAGGAAGAGGAAAGGGACATGAGCCTTTGCAGGAAGCAATTTTGTTAATTCTGGTCGGTTTAAAATCTGAAGCTCTGTTGACTTTGTGCTCCGTTTGGCCTTAGTACAGCTAATTGGCAATTTAGTCGCTGGCAGAATTTCAAGGGAGATAAAAGTGAGTGCTTATCAGCCTTATCCCGAATGACTGTGGCAGGATTCTGTTGGACTATTCATAAACTGTTTGGGACTCATTACGGGCTGTGAAAGCATATAATTCACAACCATTGAAATAAAAAGGGGGGGTTGGGAACAGCGTGTGATTGTTACTGTTTCAGGAAACCTTGGTCAGAACACCAACATTCATTGCTTTCTTTACAGAAAAGGCAGCTATAATTTAACACAAAATTAATCAGTTATGCTGGAATTTATTTACTATACCAGATCTCGGGTCAAGACATTGAATATTTTTCTTTTTTTAAAAAAAAAATTTTTTTTTAAGAAAATTATGGGGTTTGATCCAGAAACATTCCTGTAAATGGAAGGATCTCTTCTATCCAAGAGAAATAGTGGAATGGTGGTGGGTATAAAGGTGAGGAAGTTTACTAATTATCTTTTCTCCTTGTGTTCTGTGGCTCAAAAAAATCCGCTCCAGAAAATTGGAACTCCACTGGAATAGAATATGTCCCTTTTCCTGCTTTGCTAGATTGGTAGGAGCAAGCATTGAATCTAATCCATATTAAACGCATGATTGCATGATTTCTCCAAAGCATGGTTATATAGCTGATGGTCCTTTAACTAAACTTACCATAATCTTGCTTTACCTATTAAAGGAAAATGAGTAGAAATATTTGCACCTGTTAGTGTGGATTTGTGGTAGACTTAACATCTCTACCAAAAGCAGCTTTTAAAATATTAATTATTACCTTTATTGTCAGAGTACAACATGTGTAGAATGAGATTGGCTGAGCCTCCCTTTGTGCATCCCACCCCCAACACAACTCACAGTGAGGGCAGAAGTCCCCAACCCAGTCCCAATCTTATTACACTATGTGACCTTGTTGCACAACACGCTGGCCCTGCAAGTCTATCATACTATGTTGACATGAAGTTATTTTCCATTCAGAAGTCTGACAGCCCACGGGTAGAAATTGTTCTTCAGCCTGTTGGTGTGGCTAGCTATTCTTCTATATCTCCTACCCGATGGTAGGAGACTGAAGAAGTGCTGAGCGGGATGTGAGTCGTCCCTGAGAATTTTCCTCATTCTTCTAAGGCAGCGAGCCCTAGCAATGTCATCTGGTAGTATCAGGGAACAGCCCAGGGTGTTTTGTGCTGTGCTCATCATCCTCTGTAATGTCTTTCTATCCATGGCTGTCAAGCCAGCATACCACACCGTAATGCAATATGTGAGAACGCTTTCTATTGTGGACCGGTAAAAGGAGGTCATCCGTCATTGTTCCATTTTATTCTTTCTCAAGATTCTAAGGAAATGGAGTCTCTTTTGGCCTTTCTGGCCACCTGGGTTGTGATGGTTTTCCAAGTAAGATCTTCCCTGAGGTAAACTCCCAGGAATTTAAAGGAGGAAACTCTCTCCACACAGCCCCCCTCAATGTAAAGTGGGGCAGGTTCCTCTCCTTCCAGAAGTCTAACACCATCTCCTTTGTCTTGCTGATGTTCAGGTGCAGGTTGTTTTCTAGGCACCATGAGGATAATTTTTGAACCTCCTTCCTGTACACTGTTTCGTCTCCATCTGTAATGAGACCCAATATGGTAGTATCATCTGCAAACTTAATGATCACAGTGGATGAGTCAGACAATAGTCATGTGAATACAGGTAAGGACTGAGCACACAGCCCTGTGAGGAGCCAGTGCTAAGCTTCAGGGAGGTGGATATGACAGACCCAGCCCTCACTTTTTGTGGTCAGTCCCTCAGAAAGTCTTTGATCCAGTCACAGATGGAAGAGGGAAAATCCAAGTCAGTCAGCTTTTCGATAAGGATGCTCAGCAGTATAGCATTGAAGGCCAAGCTGTAGTCAATGAAAAGCATCTTGACATAGTTTCCGGGTTTCTCTAGATGGCTCATTACAGAATGTAAGGCAGTAGCTACTTAATGAAAATAATGCAATTAGTTTCATTAAATAGGGGCATGTATGAAGCTCTTCCTTGAGTTGGCCTTTTAGAGTTGATGCTTCTGTGTAGTTAAAGGAAGATATCTCTATTCACCAAAGCCCCATCACTCACATAAAATTGCTGAATCAGTTCATTAATCTTGAACAGTTATTTTCAGCAAATCTATACATTGCTTTTTATACATCATTCACAAAATGCACGGCAGCTAGCATATATCAAATGGATGTATTTATAAGTTTTGCCCAAGTATGATTTAATTTGCTAAATAATTAAAATTATGTTTTACTGAGATCCTGAATTGTCAATATTATATATATATATATTTTAAAGTTCTTCACTTCAACCATTGCTAATACGCTTTCCTAAAATAAAAGCTGTGTGGAGCTTTATTCTGCAGATCTTGTCTACTTAATTTCTGGAGTGTACATGCTACAGGTCTCCATTTGTAGTCGGGTTAATTCGCATAATTCATACACTGACCTTCAACTTTATGAGAAAGTAGAAAAAGTGCCGGCAGCAGCTGAGAAATGCAACATCTTTGCTTTAAATTATGCCAAGGACATGGTGGAGATGGCTCACCTTTTTGCAGAAAAAAAACCCCTTCAAATAGTTTACAGCAGTTTAGATTAATGGTGAGGGCTGCTGTCCTCAAAGGGAACCCATAAAGTTCAATTAAAAATCTCATTAGAATAGTATAGGAGAATCAAAAAGAAATCATCTGGACCCTTGGGGATTGGGAAATGTTGGGCTGATTAGACCAAGACTATCATAAACGACTCTTCTGTGACTTAAATAAAGTATCTTTAGCAGCCTGCTGACAAAGGTGCTGTGTATAATTTCCCTCCTTCCCTAATTTTACATACTTACATTATCATTCAAGCTAAAACTTGACACAAACATTGATCTAGTATAAGTGAAGTGTGTTGTTCACTCTAAATGTTCCAAACATTCAAGGCTAAATGGAGTAATTGTGCAGTTAGGGGAAGAGTGTGAAGCATTGATTTGGAATGTGCTAGGCACATAAACCTACTTGTGCATTAATTCCTTAGGTGGCTAGCCATAAACTGGAACTCATGCTGGTTCATATTACAGTATTCGTTTGTATTAGAGAGCAGGGGAAGGAAAAGCAATAGGACACGAGCAAGCCAAAAC